ATATAAAAAATAATTTTCTATGCCCTCCTATACCATTTTTCAGAATGCGATAAAAATTTAGTGAGATGTTGTTCTATCACCCAAAAGGTTCTTAAATACTACAACCGTTTTAAAATATTCAGTGTTGAGCCAAGGCCCTATGTTTGTTTCTTACAAAATGAGCTATGTAAATATAATTTCAAACCGCATGCGCTCCTACATCATTCAAGCGCTTGCGATAAAACTGAGGTGAGTTGTTTATAAGCCAGAGCATTTTTCTAAGCCATTATAACCCTTCTAAAATATTCCTTTTTTTTTGGCAATTGGCCCCAAATTCGTGTTTTTTTCCTTACATTAGGAGCTTTATAAAAATAATTTCCGTATGCGCTCCTCTACATTATTAGAATGCGATAAAATTTTAGAGAGATATTGTGCGCACGCCAGCAAAGGTTTCTTAAATGATTACAACCATTTTAAAATACTCCGTTTTTAGCCAGGGGTCCTATGATCGTTTTTTCTATATAAGCTATACAACTATAATTTCAAGCTATACAACTATAATTTCAAACAGAGCTAATGCATGAATGGGTAGCTTTTTAATCAAATACAAATAGTGATATTAAATTGAGTGTGTGACATATTAAGTAGGTTTCTGAAGTAATTCAACAATTCTACAATAGTCCATTTGTGGAGGGGGGTCCTAAATTCGTTTTCCACACTTCTATTATCTATATAATTATCGTATGCATTTCTATACCATTCATTCGATTGTAATAAAAATGGGTCAAGTGAAATGCGCACTACCAAAAATGTTTCTAAATTAGAAAAAAAACATTTTACAATATTCCGTTTGGGCCAGTGACCCTAAATTCATATTTTCTTCTAAGAGCTTTGTAACTATAATTTCAAACAGAGCTATTGCATGTGTGGAAGTAGCTGAATCCGCCGGAAAATTTTTCAAATTTAGTAAATCCATTGTACAATATTCCAATTAGGGCTGGAGACCCTAAATTCAATTTATTTTCTTAAATGAGCTTCATCAATATAATTTATATCGGAGATATCAACACTACCGACCTTGAACAAATTACACATTTGTAGTAAAGCAGAGAAAACACGTTTTTACATTTTTAGTGTAGAGAGTATTTTTGTTATTTGTATAAATAAGCTTGAATTTTGTGACGCATTTTAGAATCGGAAATGACATCGAAATCGTGGTGTTTTTTTTCAACTAAGAGTATTTCTTGAATAGAGTCTTATAATTTCGGAGTTGTTTTGTGTTATGTAAATACATTTTACATGAATCGATGGTTTCTCAAGTAATTAAATAACACACTTGACAATGTAGGTATTGAACTATGGTCATTTTTTTACCGCTGGAATTTACGATTTATAAATTAATGAGAAACTATACAACTGGAAATCTCCTGACAACAATGAACGTACCTATTGTGCGAGGTTTTCATGTAAAAAGATGGGAGATCCTAACGTGTGAAAATTATGAACGTTAGGAATATTGTAAATTAATTGAATCAAATACAAACAGCGAATTTCATTTTGTTTGTGACCTAACAAGTTGTGTTAATTGTGAAATACCATTGCTAATAACAGATGTCACAAAGCAATAATTTCGGTGTCAAATCAATTATGCCACACAAACAAAAAGTTATGGGTCAATTTAAACCTCAAGCACGAAAGGAAAAGTAGTCCCGATCTTTCGAAACAGCTGAGCAACGGAAAGCAAGACTAGAATCCACTCGAGTACGCAATGCTCAATACCGTTCACCTGAAACAGTCGAGCAACAGAAACCAAGAATCAAAACCGGCCGAGTAAGCAATTCTGAAACCCGTTTGCTTGAATCATTCGAGCAGTGAGAAACAAGACTGGATTCCGATAGAGTACGCACTGCTCGATCCAAACGAATACTGCACGCTGAATTAAATCTTAGTACATTAAATTATGATGCTAATTATGATTACAGTCTTAATCCAAGTGTGGTTATTGGAAAAATAGATCAATTATGCGTGTATTGCAGTGCCCTCAAATTTAAAAACGAAACACCGGGAATTTGCTTCGCGGATGGGAAAATGAAATTACCAGAATTACATTCACCATCGGAACCATTATCAAGGTTGCAATCAGGTGAAACAAGCCAATCGAAACATTTCTTGGCAAACATATGCAAGTGCAATTCATGTTTCCAAATGACATCGTTGGGTGCAACAAATATCGTGCGCGAGAATTACATGCCAACATTTTAAGTAAAGTGCAAGGCCAAATTTACCATCGTTTAGGATCTCTGATGCCAATGGAAAACACAGATCACAAATGTCTTCAAATGATTTCATGGGGAATACTGATGAACAAATCGATCAACGATCAATACGGGCACTAAACGAGAAATCGTCGCTGCAATGCAAACGTTATTTTTGCAACAAAAAGAATTAATTTAAATGTATAGAATTGCACTTGAAAAGATGCCGACTGATGAATACAAAGTCATACCGGTAGTTAGAGCAG